ATCAAGCGAGAAAAGTTTGATTCGGAAGAAATTGGTGTGGTTTTTTTATTTTAGAATTCAGTTTGAAATAAAAAAGCCCATAGACTCACATGGACATGTCTAGACAGACCCTCTATTAAGTAACCGTATTCACTTTAAGAAAACAAATTTACTTTTTCATATATCAAAAAAAAAATCAATATACTATAAAGAAATTACATTTTATTCAGAAAAAATGTAATCGGTTAAGTGAACTTGCAAATAGCACGTGTTGTGTGTTCATATATATTCTCTTTTCGTATTTTCTCCTTCTGTTCTCCTATAACTCACGTTGATATCTTACATGATCCACATTTTCTATCATATCTTATTTTGAACTCGTATGTATCGATGCCAAGATTTTTGACAAAAGAACAAAGAATTTTTATCCTCAAACAATGGTGGATGTCAGGAAGAACATTACATATAGTAAATTCAGCTTTTAAACATGAATTTCCTGACGATAAAATTCCAGCTCGACAAACAATTTATCGGCTAGCAAAAAAGTTTGATGAGACAGGTTCTGTGGAAGATGCACCTCGAAGTGGTAGACCAACATCAATCAACACAGAAGAAAATATAGAACTAACCTCTGAAAGTTTTCTTCTTAATCCAAAAACATCACAAAGACGTGCAGTACGTGACCTTCACATCTCACGTTCAAGCTTACAACGCATTATGAAAGATCTCAATTTAAAACCGTATAAACCGAGATTGTTACAATCTTTAAATGAAGATGATCCTGATCGACGGCTTGAATTTTGTGAATGGATTTTAGATTCAACTGAAAAAGATCCAACTCTATTAGACCAAATTTGGTGGACAGACGAAGCTATATTCAAAATAAATGGTCGAATCAATGGACACAATTGTGTTTATTGGAGCGATGCAAATCCACACTTTATCATCGAACAAGAGCTAAATGTGCCACAAGTAATCGTATGGGGAGGAATATGGTCAAATGGCGTTGTTGGACCATTCTTTTTCGAAGATAATGTTACATCAGAGACTTATCTTCATATGTTAAAGGACAATATCATACCACAACTTGAAGATCATCCAAACTTTCAAACAATGATATGGCAACAGGATGGTGCACCACCACATTATGGTCAAGTCGTGCGAAATTATTTAGATGATACATTTTTACAATAGATTGGTCGTCGAGGAACTATTGAATGGCCACCGCGATCTCCGGATCTTACTCCATGTGACTTCTCTCTATGGGGAATAATAAAAGATCGTGTTTATGCTCAAAAACCTCGCGATGTGAATCATCTAAAAATATTAATTAAAGAAGAATTTACATCGCTCAATGATGATATCGAATTATGCCAAGCAATTTGTCGTTCTGCAGCTAAGCGTTGTGAGATTTGTATTAGTACAGGAGGCAAACAATTTGAACATTTACTCTAAAATATTGTTCATTATTTTTTTGAAAAATTTCCCTTTTTTGTAGCATATTGATTTTTTTTGATATATGAAAAAGTAATTTTTTTTCTTAAAGTGAATACGGTTACTTAATAGAGGATCTGTCTAGGCATGTCCATGTGGATATAAAGCTTGAACATGTCTCTATCATTGACGAAAAAATCAGCTCATTTGCTCAAGCCTCAATGGAGATATTCAATTTTTTGTTTGGTGCGTGACTTTTGGGCCACCCAGTATAATCAATACAATTTTGAGTTATAATTCGATGATTAGCAAAATGTTTTTTTATGGAAAAGATTTTACTAATATTTTAACAAAAGTTGTTTTGAAGAAAAAATGGTGTGGGTGCGGGTATGGGTGTGAATTTGAGTCTATCTTACTACACCCACACCCACACCTACACCTATCCACACCCACACGGACACCCACACCCACACCGACACCCACACCCACACCCCACACCCACACCCACCCACCCACACCCACACCCTTTTATAAACAATAATATTTTAATCATGTTAATCAATGTTATAGTTTCTATTTTCTATAAAACAATTATTCAAGATATTTGTATAACATAATCATTTTTTATTGTGTATTTAACAAAAGAATTTATTTCTCATTAATAATAATGATCAATTGGATAAATGAATTTAATTTATATTAACAAAATGGTTTTTATTTATGAAGAATTTAAATCTATTTTCTAGAAATTAATCATATTTGATAACTGATTTTTTTTCGAAACTATAATTAGTTTTTTGTTTTTGTATGATCAATATTTTCTTTATTAAAACATTTCTTTTTTTATGAAATAGAAATCTATTTATTAAAATACATTTTGAACTGAATATAGATAATTAAACGTATTGTTTTCAATAAAAGGATATGAATCAATATATTAAATTAAGTTAAAACAAATATATTTCGTTACAAGATTTATTGTTCATATATGAATAATGTTTGTTATTATTGTTTAATATTAATTAGAAACAAAAGAAATTATTTATTTATTGAATAGTTTATTCATTTTTCTAAAAAAGAATTGTCTTATCTTATTCAGTCAGATGTAGTGATATTAATCAGTTCAATTTCTCAAAATCATTGTGTCCATCTTACATAGATTAAATAAACAATAGATTATAACTATTTTTAATTCTATCAACCAATACAAGATACTTCTTATCAAATAATAACGACCACTTATATATTAACGGTATTGACTTCTTTCAGTCAATATCTGAGTTTATCTGTGCGCTTCATTGCCAGAACCATGTCTATAGACGCATTGAGAAACCTGTGTGCGCAAATGAAATTGATTGACTTCTCTTACCTGATAGACAACTTTTATTTTTAATAAATTATGCAGAAGTAATAGAAAAATACAATTAATTTTATCTAATTGAAGACTGATTAGCACAAAGAAAATGAATGAAATGTTAACTGGCAACAAAGAACAAATTTTAACTGACAAAAAAGATTCATATGTTGCCTGACAAAAAAAAATTAAATGTTAACAGACAACAAAGAAGAACGAACTTTAACTGACAAAAAAAAGATTCACATGTTGACTGATAAAAAAAAGAATTAAATGTTTATTGACAACAAAGAAAAACTAATGTCAACTGACCAATATCTTATTTTTTTAGCCGACATTTCAGTACGACAGGGTACCATGTAAGATAACAACATGAATATCTATAAAAAAAAACAGAATTGTATGATGTTCAAACGAAACATTATATGGTGGACTTACGTTCTAAGTGCTGAAGCTTCTGGGTTATCTTGCCGAGTTTCATATACAAAGAAAAAATAACGTTTAATAAATGTGTATATAATAGAGGTTGAAGAATGCTATTACAACCCGCTAACATTATTTGATAAGCATTTAATCTCGCCATACATTCAGCTTTTTTTTGTTTCACTTGGATTAACTAAAAAAAAGAAAAAGTCACTTAAGATAATTGGAAGATTTGAAAATTATTTGGTCTTAACATTAATAGACACTAGCTACATACTCTCTCTACAATAGGAAATATGATCATCGAGCGTTTTAATTTATCTAGATCATTCACATTCCTATTTATATCGTGTAATATTTTTTTTCTTAGACTAATTATTCTCTATGCGTCAATACAAACGGACGGTGAGATTGTCCATGGCTAATTGTTAACAAAAAAAAATGGAATTATTTTTGCTTACTATATTTCGTCGTGTGGGTGTGGGTGTGTGGACGGGTGTGGGCGTGGGTGTGGGAGTGAGTGTGGGTGTGGGAGTGAGTGTGGGTGTGAATGAAGAGAAGACCACACCCACACCCACACCCACACCCCCACACCCACACCCCCACACCCCCACACCCCACACATCCACACACCCACATCCACACCCATCCACACCCACCCACACCCACACCCCACACCCACATGTTCGTCAACCAGTTTGTATGCCAAATGCTGATGGTTCCAATATTCAAACTCCTCAGGAACCGTATGAAACAAATCAAATGGAAAATGATGAATATATGGACGTAGATGGTAAACACCAAAAAGAACAATAATTAATTCTTTCATTCTTGTTAGATCCACATCAACATATTTCTACAACGGATTTACAAACTGAGTTGTTGCACGATGATGCGAATGACAACATTGGAATTAAACTTCGCGTTATTGAATCCATGCTTCTTCAATGTACTGTACTCCTCAAACAATTAACATCGATAAATGTAACACATGAAGAATTTGTGAAAGCTACATACAACTATGCAACTGATCTTGTTACTTGTTCAAGTGAATTGAAGGAACTGTGTTCTCAAAGAATTAATCAATTAAACAAAGATCGTGATAATATTTCTTTGATTGAACCAAAGAATCGAGCATTTATGGAACGTGATCCTGGTAAGTTTCTTACCAGAAAATCTATGTTCCTATCAGTTCGTTGATATTTGCACACTTAGGTGGTTATTCTGCCAATTACAATTATACAGATGAAGAACGACGTTTTTTCGTAGGTATTGGACCTTTCCAACCACTTTTATCAAGTTTTCCAAGAAATGATGTTTTGGCCGTTGCCAAAGATACCTGCAAGTTCGTCAGCGAATGGTACACAGAGTAGCCGATGATCGAATGTAGTATAATAAAAGATGCGGCGCTTTGTTTTGTCTGCAGAATATTTCATGAAGGTAGTATTTTAATACTTGACTCATTCATTAGCATTTCTTGTCTTGATATTTATTTAGGTCCTGGTGATCAAAAAAAAGATAAAGCATGGATCGAAGTCGGTGTTAACTCATGGCCGAAAATGAAAGGCTGAGGGCGTGATAAAAAAGGTTAGTGTTAGCATTAATCGCTTTGAAGTCTAACATTTTCATTTTTTTTATCAAAGGAAAATTAGAAGCCCATTTTCCGTCAGTTGCTCATAAAGCTTCATATGAACGATATTCCATTTTCAAAAATAAGTCGTGCAATATCGACAACTTACTGAATGAAAATTGTCGAAAAGCTAAACAGCAGGAAGAAGCAATACTTAAAAGAAATAGAAATATTATTATTACATTATTGACTCGACCAGATTTTTGGCCCATCCGGGATTACCATTTCGTAATGAACCTGCTGAAGAAGGTAATGGAGAAAATCGATCATTGATGCTTTTTAATTCTCTTGACATTTTGCTTTTCTTATTCATGATATAGGTAACTTTATTCAATTGATCAATCTTCTACGGTGCCGTGATAAAATATTTGATGACTGGTTCCACCAGGAAAAACTCAGCGTTTATCAAGTAAGAAATACGATCTTATCAATAAGACACAAATAGCGTATTGCTGTGTATTTTTCCTGTGTAGGTCTTCTATCTAAGCGCACAATCTCAAGATGAATTCATAAAATTGTTAGGACAACACGTTCAACAGACAATTATTGCTCGTCTTAATAACTCTTTATTCTATTCGGTAATGATAGATAGTACACCTGATGTATCTAATAGAGAAATTTATACGATTGTTGTTCAATTTACAAATAATTTCAATGTCGAAGAAAGACTAATTGCGGCGGCCGAGTTGTCAAGTAAAATTGGTCTAGATATTTGCAACATGTTTTTTTCTATAATGGAACAGCTAAATATTTCACCGAATAAATTGATTGCTCAATGTTATGACAATTGTAACAACATGTCTGGTATAAACAAAGGTGTTCAAGCCTGTGTTAATGACAAATTACAACGTGAAGTAATTTTCATACCTTGGGGAGCACATTCTTCTAACTTAGCAGTTAAGTATGCTTGCGACTGTAGTACACAATTTATTTTACTATTCTATCTTTTACAAGAACTGTATAATTATTTTACAGGAAGTGCTAAACGACATCATATACTTCGAGAAAAACTTAAAGCTTCAGAGTTTGGTCTAATGGTTAAAAATCTTGCAGATACTCGTTGGGTAAGCAATATTAATTTTTCTTTATGACTTCGAATCATATATTATGCTGTAGATTGCTTCATTTACTTCATTGCATGCTGTTGATGTTTCACTCGATCAGATTATTGAAAGGTTAACTTATATCAGTGAACAACTGACAGATAAGGAAGCTATTCATCAAGCAATATGTCTCAAAAGAAAATTATTATCTTTTGAAATTATGTCATTATTATTGTTTATGGTAAATGTAACCCGTGTAACCTATGCAATTACTGCTCATTTACAAGGCGAAGAACTCGATATAATCACTGTCATTGATGTTATTTCTAACAGTCTGAAACTTCTTCAACATATGAGAAACGATGACAATACAATGATTAATATGATTGAAGTACGAATAACGATCATTGATAATTAATAGACCACGTTATTATTTCATCTCTAAACGTTCTTTAGAGAACTATTCGACGAGCAGTAGCATTTGATATATATGTTGATGCTGAGTTCGATAGACTTCATCGACCTCGACAGCGCTCTCGACGTATTGATAACAATTCTAGTACAGCTGTTAATTTATCAAGGTAAATTGAACTCATTGCAATCGAATTATTTTCTTCTTGCTTACTTTAGGAATGAATATTACACAGGATTAATGCGACAAGTACTCGATCAATTATATTCAGTTTATAATGATTATTATGATACAGTAAACAACAAATTACGTCCTTTTCATAATGTTACACCAGGTTGTGTTGCACAGTTTTCACTCAACGATGCTGAACGATTGTGTTCAATTATACCTGGTCTTTCGTATCGGTCTCTTGTTTTGACTGATTTTGAACTATTACGACCAGTTATCTCGTCCTACACAACTATTAATGAAATCATTACATATTTAAAAACAGTCGGTCATCCTTATCCACGGGCATCACTTGTCTACAATTTTCTCATTACTTTACCTGTAAGCGTAGCCTTAAACGAACATAGTTTCTCCAAGATGAAAATTGTAAAAAATTATTTACGAAATGCTTTAAAAAACGAGAAGTTTTTTCATCTAATGCAGTGCGCGGTCGAAGGTGATCTGCTTTCTACCGTGGACCTCGAAAAGATGGCTACTGAGTGGTCCCAAATGAAAAATTGACGTGTCAAAATTACATGTAATCAATGACTTTTTTTTCTACTATGAATTTTCGTACATTGTTAATTATTCATTTTTGTGGTACATGTCTTTATGATAACAATAAAACTGAGCACATTTCTATTTCAAAATAACATTAGCTACATCAGCTTCTTAGTCTGTTGTACCTGAGACGATACAATACACAGCTGACATTATAGAAAAACGCTATATTCGAAAGAGGTGATATTGAAATATTCTTATCATAGACGTCCCCCCCCCCCCCCTCCCAATCCTGAATGAGTCGCGACAGCTCTGCTTATTATGATCATCAAGTTATCTCATTAAAAATTCATGATATAATTCGTGATTATTCATCTGTTATTAATTTATTATTTAATCGACACAATTTTATTAATCTTCAATCATGTATATTTGATTCAATAAACCCATCAACAAAATTTGAAAATATTTTTAAACTAATTCAAAGTCTAAATAGACTTGTTACATTTAGTCTTTTTGAACCATATTTTAATATAAATGAAAAAGATAAATGTAATTTAACTCGAATAATGTTAATGAACAAATCATCTTCTGTTCGTTCAAGGGTACTTGAACATTCTTATGATTATTTAGATATATCAAATTATACTTCAATATCTTCGAATCTTACATCACTTCATTTACGTATATATGGTACATCTTCAACTGTAACTCTTTATTTAATTTTATCAATTTTTCGTGTTTGTCATGGAATTCGACATTTAGGCTTAACACTACAACACAAATATTCAGTTGAAAATAATAATATCAAGTAAGTTTCCGAGTAGTGAATATTTTAGATGATAAATCTCTAAAAGAATATTAATTAAAAATGAAAATGAAATGTTTATTTTTTGTTTTAGTGCTCCAATTTCAACACAATCTTTTAATGACAAGGACTATCCCATATTATCGCTAGTGATATCTTTCAATTTAATAATATATGTTATATGTGATATTTATTCAATTGCTTATATTTTACGTTGTATGCCTAATCTTAATCGTTTTAATTTTACTCTTGCGTCACTAATGACATCATTGCCATATTATCGTGAATTGTTTAATGGTTTTGTGTGGCAACAAGTATTAAAACGTTATGTTTGATGTTTATCTAAATTTGAATTTCATATATCAATTTTGAAAAGCTTTTCAAACTTAAATTTAGACTATATTTTCAAGTCATTTCAATAGTTTGTTAGAAAATATCCTAATTGGAATATGATTATTGATTGATGGAGACTTGTTGGTAAAACTTCAGGTAAACAAAATTGATTCAACGCGTTTAAAATAATGACGGATGAGAATGAGTTTTCTTACTGGAAAACTAAATTTTTTGATAAATAAATTTTGATTGAAAAAGAGAAATTTAAGTCAATTCTGATTATGTTAATAATAGATCAATGCGAAAAATTTCTATGACTTTATGAGAATTAAAATACGGAGATTGTTTATTTTCTTTTCGACTTAGAAATCCTTACTTCAAGTTTAAACTAAATTCATGTAGTTGTAATATTCACATATCATAAGTAAATGATGAATATACAAATGAATATTTTGAAAAGAATAGAATTTCGTTCATATTTAAAAATATATTTCTTTTTCTTTTCTTTTTAGAAGAATTTGTCATGTTACGCACACTTAATTATTGCAAATGTAAATCAAACGTTAAGATCTTAAATCCGTATATTAATTCTGAATCATATGACACACTACCAACAACAACAATAAATGATCATCATCTTTTTTATTCAGATATAACAGATTTAAGAATATATCTGACAAAGACAAGACCTACTGTTACTTGGTCTTCTCCTTTATATAAAAATCAATTATCTTATCGTACAAATGTCAATAATACCTTATTCATCGTTATGGAATAAATTATTGAATACTGGTAAGAAGAATCTAGCTTTATTTTCATTTATTTAAACAGAATAATTCGCATTATATTATCGTATATAGATGAATTTGATAATAGAATTTTTCATTTTGTTATCTTTCGTCAAACAACTGATGATGATGCTAACGCACAACAAAATGTTACTTATCTTTCATATTTTGTACATATACCCAATATAACTGAATTAGAATTTGCATCAGAATTTTGTATATATCAATGTAAAAGTATTCAATTTATTCTACAGTAAGTATTTATATTTCTAGAAGATATTTCATTCGTCATATTCTTAAAGAAGATATATTTATTGATTATTAGAGATAATATTATATTCTATCGAATAATAATCATTGGTATTAAATCGAAGTATAATGAGTAAATTTTTGCTTTTTTTTGTTTTAGAGCATGTCCAAATGTGACTGGTATTAGAATTAGTACTCAATTATTGATGTTATCAAAATTCATCGATAATCCATCACTTATTCCAGGATTCAAACAAATTAAAATGATCAAATCAATAACAGAAAAATTTTATTTTCCTTCAAATTTTGCATTAAAACTTGTTCAACGTTTTCCATCACTTATTGATATTGAACTTCAAGTAACTATTTTGATTTAACAAATATTCATGAATATATATATATATTCCTTTCATATTTGTTATGTTCATTTATCCGATATTTTCTAGATCTTAACCTAGTCATTCATCATCTAAAATCATTACTTAATGCAATGAGACTATGATGAATGAAAGATCGTACTAAGTTATGTCTTGTTCAACAAGTGTTAGATAGGAAAGTTTCTGTGTCCGATACTAAAACAAATACAATATATTTTATTACGAAAAGTAATATCATCACAAATAAATAAAAACATCTTATTCTTGCTAATATTAATTTAGTTTATGTTGATCAATATTTTCTTGAAAAAGATATGCCATATTTAAATCCTATGGTTAACTGATCCATTCTTGTTTTTGTACATTGAAAGAAAATTACTAACAAAAAAAAGAACTCGAACCAAATAAATTTTCTTCTTATAAATGGAATACGATCTGTTATTTCATAATATGAACAAGTAGAATTAATTCTTTTTAATTCTTTTGTATGAATAATAAAAGGATGAAATTTCCATATATGGTTAACAAGAATATCAAATGTAGTTATTAAAGGAGCATCAAGAGACATGATTTGTTTACCATCAAATGGTATTGAATATATTGCAATAGCAATACATATTGGAATTATAAGAAATAATAAACGACGATTTTCAAAGAGCAAGTATTATCGTAGAAAATGACTATTTAATGAACAGATTGATCGGTCAAATATTAAACCAATGTTATTAGTCTTATAGTCAACAGTTGGCGCTAGAATCGGTCGTTATATGTGAAAATAATACGAATTCATCACATTATCTTATGTCATATTATTATAAAAAGCAAGGAATTACTTCCGAGTAGAAATAATAATTGAATCAAAAATAAATCTATGATTAATGCACGCAATACAAATCTTTACATTTGAGAGTAATATTGACATCGTCTATCGTATGGGTTAATCTATACTAGAATGAGCACATGAAGAAAAATACCGAATTATTATATTAAGTACACTTACTAGGGATTCTATTAATTATCATATGTTTATCAAGATAAGCACTAATCTTTCAGTAGATGTTTTTGACATCATTTGTCTGTAGATGATAATATTGTAACCTGTGATTTCTCTTCAAAGATTGAACATCAAGTTATTTACTGGATGACAATAGTTTCACTTTCTGATAAAGTTGTTTATTTTGTTTATAATAGGAAAAGAAGAAAGAATGTAGGTGTGAATGTGAATCGATGCTACACCAACACCTACATCCATATACCCATACCAATACTCGCAACCACACCTTGTATAGAATCGAATAATCTCATAAAACATTCATTGTATAAATTAATGAGCTTATGCGTATTTCAATTGATTATTATAAATAAATAGCCCACCTGAAGTCGTTCTTTTTTTTTTTAATTCGAAGAAGAGAAAATAAAATGAAATGAAGTATGAAGGTGTCCGGATAGATACAATAACGAGTATAATAGATGTTCCAGTTAAACGATAATTAAGCAAGAATATGTATTATGATCAAAAAAAAAAACCAGCTACATTACATATTGTTTCATCATTTCTGATGAAACTTTGACGTGTCACTTTTCTCATAACAGTATTTAGACATAAATGGCTAGAGAGAAACTTTGATGTTTTCTTCTCTTGAGTGTTATTTCACCTTTCTGTGTAATAATTACGGACGTGTTGTGTAATAATTTCTACTCTATATAAAAATCAAGAATGTAAGAGTAAAGGTAATTTTACAAGCAATAATAACCAAACGACGGTTCGACACTCAGTTCTTTTATATAATTTCAACTGAGCCACTTATATCAAATTTCATATTTAAAATAATAAAAGTAAGATAGAAGATTTTATTATAAAGTTTTTTAACAAATTTAATTTTAGTGGTTCGCGGACGCGGTCGTGGATTCGGACGTGGTCGTGGAGCAAGTCGAGGTCGTGGTGGTCGTGGAGCAAGTCGGGGTCGCAATGGTCGTGGTCGAATCATCACTCGTGGTGGTCGCCGTGGAGGCTTTCAAATAGCACGCTCGCAATCATTAAATGTTGATCAACAAACAACATCAGTCAATCCTTTAGCTAATCTTGACATTAATGTTGATCCTAAACCATTTTTTGTTAATGCAAATGTAACAATCGATCAACACATTCAAGCACAAACTACAAATCTTCCTCGTTATTTAGCTGCCTTATTCACACTTGATGAAAATAGTGTTGATATTGGACAAAAAGCTAAAGCATGTGCATTAGCGGCTGCTTGGTGTCGACATGATCATAAATTAGCTAATAATCTTTTACGATGTCGACGTTTATTCACTCTAACTGAAGTACTTAAAGCAGTAACAATGTTAGATGCTGCTCGACAAATTCGTGTTTATGAAAAACAACTTAAACGTCTTGAATTAAGTAAAACTAAACCAAAAGCAACAAAATTAGGTAAAATTAAAAATAATCTCGATAATTTAAATAAACTCAAGCCATCTACTGGATCAGCTAGTGGTGCTGTTGCTCGGCATATTCAACGTTGGACTAGAACATTAACTTTACAAGAACTTGAATATTTTGCATTACATATGCCAACAGAACCATGGAAAAAATTAGCTGATATTGTTCATTTTAATCCAACGAAAGATTTTCCTTCTTTACCTTGGTTTTTACCATTTTGTTTTGGTACACCAGCACCAACAGATACAATGGTATCTCGTTGTCGAGATTTAACAGTTGATAATATTAATAATTTAATTAAAGAATTTAAAATTCCTTATTCACATTTAAAACAATTTAAAGAACACTTAAATGATCAATCAAAAGCAAGAATTGCATCTTATGAAGAAAAATTAGATACTATTTTATGGTATTATGAAGATTTACAATGTTCAGATGTAGATGATATTATCAGTGAACGAATACGAAATGGTGAACAGATTACATTACCATATGGAAAACTTATGGAGCGTCTTTTACTTCTTCGAACAATACGAGATAATGTATCTGAAACAAGGAGCTTTCGAGGTACTGGACGTGGACGTGGAGCCGAACGAATTGCTAGAAATGTTGATAATCAACATTCAGCCGAATCAAGCAAAATGGCATTCTATTCCGATTTATTAGTAATAGCTGAAGCTCAACTACAAAAGATTAAATTACCATTAGAATCACCAGTTGCTGTTATGGGAGATGCATCTAGTTCAATGAATGTTGCTATTCGTACAGCAACTATTCTTTCATCATTATTAACAGCAATTTGTTCAGCAAAATTGAACTTCTTTAATAATCAAATGTTTTTACCTGCTTTTACACCAAAAACTATTGAAGATGTTCTTACATTAGCATTGACAACAAGAGCAAGTGGTTGTACAGCAAATGCTGCTGGTCTTGTACCATATTATGATAGTAAAGAAGTGATAAAAACGTTTGTTATGGTGACAGATGAAGAAGAGAATACAGATGCTCGATTAGCTGACGATACATCAACACGATTCTTTAATTTATTTATGAAATATCGTACAGAAATCTATCCAGCTAAATTAGTATTTATTTCATTTCTTCGTCATCAGCATGCTCAAGGTCAAATGTATAAAGAATTTCAAGATGCTAATGTACCTGACGTAATTCAAGTAAGTGATAAAAACTAATTGAAGATATTTTATATTTTAATTTATTTTTGTTTAGTTCAAGTTTAGTGGTGAACGTCCAGATTTGACGAAAATTGATAATCTATTGGGTTTATTATCAACTGGTTCATCAGACTCATTTGATGATAGAGTAGGAAAATTACAAAATGAATTTCAACAGAATGGTATGGAGTCAGTCATTACGAAATTACTTAATCAACAAGAAGAAAATAGTACTGTTCCCATGGAAGCAGAAATGGCTGCAGTGACAACGAACTAAATTCTTATCATTCATTTTAATAATTTTGTTTTTGGTGTTGAATTGAAGAATTTAAATAAAATGTAAATATTTATTCATAAAAACATTTTGACGAAAGACATGAACCATTATGATATCGATATTCATTTTCAGAGGTCTAGATGTGGATGTGAGCGTGTTGTTGTGACTGAAATAATGATCTGCATTAGTATACCACACTCACATAGAATATACATAAATAGTGGGTTGACACTTTAACAAATGTTGAAAACATAAAGTGTTGAAATAAAAAACAAATATCCTATAGAATATAACTTGCTTTATATTAGGCTTTATTTCATCTTTTCATTGTGAATAAACTCTTTTCTATTGATGAAAACGCATTATTTCGATTATTGTTAGTTATATTTTGAATCAATACTTCCGTAATACATCCTTATACGCATTACAAGCTATTCCAAAATACTTAAAATAAACTAACAAATCACATGCAGTCTACCATTATTCACTCAATAAACATTTTTATACAGTACACCATCACGCACATAGTAATTCAGATGATTACCACCAGTACCATATGCCCATGTACTAAGATCAAAAAAGTGTGCACCATCGGTGGTCGCTTGAATTTTATATACTCTTACAGCTTTTTGATTTCGATACCAATCAAGTGGAAAGCCATCCTGACATCTTTCAGGTGTGTTATCAATTCCATTTTGAGTAAGAAAATAAGCCGAGCCATAACCATATACTTTTCCAATACCATTTGGTTCAATACAGACAGCAGTCGATTCATCAACTCCAATACCACGAGCTAATATTCCATGATCATGACTCATACGAGCAAGAAATGTCATAAGACGACCATGACGATCACGATTATCAAAATGAGAATCGGTAACAACATCAGAAAGGTAAGGTTGATTAAGAAAGTCTTTATGGCCAAGAGTAACAAGACTAATGTAAGGATTATTAAGAGCTTCAGAAGAAGTAACTGTTCCTTGAAGAGCTCCGAAATAAGTACCACCTAGAATAGCACAACCTGCTGAAGTACCACCGACTGGTATTTGTTTGACGTTACGTAAATAATCAAGTGCATAATGTACTTTGGTATCCTTCCAAAAGTTAA